GGGCATCTCGTCTCACGTCATTGTGCTCTCAAGTTTACCAAGGGAATCTCTTCTCACGTCATTGTGCTCTCAAGTTTACCAAGGGCATCTCATCTCACGTCATTGTGATCTCAAGTTTACCAAGGGCATCTCATCTCACGTCATTGTGATCTCATGTTTACCAAGGGCATCTCATCTCACGTCATTGTGATCTCAAGTTTACCAAGGGCATCTCATCTCACGTCATTGTGATCTCATGTTTACCAAGGACATCTCGTCTCGCGTCATTGTGGTCTAATATTTACCAAATACGTTTCGTCTCACATCATTGTGTTTCATGTTTACCAAGGACATCTCGTCTCACGTCATTGTGCTCTCAAGTTTACCAAGGGCATCTCGTCTCACGTCATTGTGCTCTCAAGTTTACCAAGGGCATCTCATCTCACGTCATTGTGGTCTCATGTTTACCAAGGACATCTCGTCTCACGTCTTTGTGGTCTCATGTTTACCAAGGACAGCTGGTCTCGACCCATATTTATGGACTTGCCTACAAACTGTAAGTACCCAGTGAAAATCGCTAAGTATATTACATGCACATAATTTTCATCATTGGATTTTACGACACCAGATGAACGTAACCCTATATGTAATATGTTAATTGTGTTCTCGTTATTAGCGCTGTTAATGTGTTATTAATGTACCCTTAAGTAGATAACAACTTTATTTAATTTAGATATTGCCTGTTATACATGAAACAAGTTAAAATTTCCTCATGTTTTCAAAGTGATGAAGTAATTTGTGCTTCAGAAATCCATGTACGTGTAACTATTTTTTTCTAAAATTGAGGAAGTATGGTATTGCTTGGCCTACATTCTTCCTTCAAGAATATTCCACGAATATATAAAACAAACACAACTGCTCTACATAATTGTAGGATTTGAGGTTCGCACAGCGATGGTTATCAGAAGTACATTGTACAGTCATCTGGGATAGAGCGGGTGTAGTCCGTTGACAGTAAACCGACGTTTTGGAGGGAGATATCGTCTCAATCTTCAGGGAAGGAGAATAAGACGAGCAGGAAACCAGAATGAAAGCAGATGGCAGACAGATCTCTGTTCTATGTGCATATCACATAATATTCTCACAAACCATTTTATATTAAGTTCTAATTTTTCAGTGTCATGTCACAATATTTTGCCATAACTACTTAAACATTGCCCGTTACGTGGTAACGACTCGATAAATAAGAAAGTCATCGTTAGGCAACGGCTATCAAACACATTGTAGCGGCTTGTTTTTCTATACGTAAGCCCTTAGTTGAGGTTACGTTTTGCCTCTTGCTTGTAACTAGTTCTCGCTACCAGCGCACGACCTAAAACAAACCGCTAAAGTATAAACATGCAAGGGAAGAAATCGAAATATATCATCTGGACAAGTAGACGACGCCCTTGTAATGTATAAAAAAAGGACTTTACAAAAATTTTAATGGGGAAAATTAATGGATTTTAATAGAAAGTAAATTACAGCGTATGGTAATCTAGTTAATGTTAGCTAGATTGCGTTTACAGCATTTTAAATCATGAAATATTGCAGTTACGTATGAAGTAAATGAGTCACATTCAATAGAGTATAAGAGCTTTGGCAAATTATGATACCTGATGATGGCCGGTTGGGGCCGAAATATGTTGTAAAAGGGAAAGTGAAAAGGAAAGACTAAACATAGTTGCATTGTTGATGGAACTGTATTATTACGGGTAAAAATGATAGTAATAAAACAGGATTCAACAGTACGTATTAAATTTTTTCCACTTGAAATTCAGAAAAACTTTAAATTTAGGTGTCAGATAGAGCAAAATGTTTATTATTCCATGAAAAGGACAAAGTTGCAAGGAAAAGCCATCACATAACCTTTCTCCTTAAATATGATTTCCTATAAAAATTGTAAAACATAATAAAAACAAGTAAACTTTGAGTGCCTGTTACCGTGGCCATTATTCTTGAGTAGATACAGTCTTTAATGAGTAATGCAGAATAGGCATGAAGTCCAATAAACACAAACTGAATCTGAAATGAAACAAAAAATACATTACTAAAGGCCGTTTGTAAGGATATGCAATATGATGATTATCTGGAATCAAATATTACATTTCAATATGGAGATATTAAAGTAAATACGAACAAAAAACGTATCGGAAAGCTCGAACTCGAAGAGAAAATCCGGAGAGAGAGAGAGAGCAGAACATTAAATCAAGCGGGTTAGAAAGAAGACGGAATAGGTAAATAGAGATGGAAGGTCATACAACACAATCTCATATGCACCACTCAACACTGCATCATTTTTGCATAGAAAACACATGTCGCGTGATTGCTACCCGGCCAGTCCATTGGTGCTCTGGCTGCTGCCTAGCAAAATTCTCGGCACAGACCCACAGAAAATTCGTCACGTGACCGCTACCCTTTGTTTCGTGACGTTACAGCGGACACAATGGTAAAACTACTCAATATTTTTGGCCGCGTGTGTGTTGCGGGCCTCGCCTAACAACGGATCTACATGTCACAATATGAAGTCTACATTTAAACGTAGTAACAGATGGCAAAAGACAACTGAAATGAATTGAGTTAATATCTGTATTGTTTACCATTTGAAGTTGGGTGATATATTTCTTCCACCAAAGGTTATTCCTGTACTGAGGCCACATTGATGTCATGAAGTAGTAGGAATACATTACAACGTGGACGAAAGAGTTCACATATACCACCATCTCTCCGTGCCCGCCTGTAACATCGAAAGTTTAAGATACATCACTATCAGAGGGACGCTTGTAAAATTGACATGTATCGCATTTTCGCCTGTAACATTGAACCAATGCCGCACCATAGCTCAAGCGGTTAGTCGCTGGCTTCCCACCGCTGCGGCACGGGTTCGATCCCGCGTCTGGTCAAGTGGGATTTGTGGTGGACAAAGTGGCGCTGGGGCAGGTTTTCTCCGAGAACTTCGGTTTCCCCTGCCAATCTTCATTCCACCAATTGCTCCACAATCACCCTCACCTATCATCTGGGGCTAGTACAATAGGCCAGAAGTGACCGCAGTACAAGGGACTTAGTCCCACCCCACTGGCAATAAAAAAAACATTGAACCAGATCAGAACACCAAGAATGTCACCTGGTAGTCTATAATACTGAAATATTTCAGAAGACCGAAATTCAGCCATTGTCGTCTGTAATATCTAAGGAATTAATATATCCCAGTGTTGTTCCGGAAGCCTCTAGCAAGAAAATTTGAGATGTATCATCACTGTCGCTTGGTCGATTATAACTTCTGAACAACACATATATCCCAGCATTTAGGCTGGCTGTCTGTAACATCGAAAAGTCTATCATGAAGAGGTAACACTGAAAGATTCCAAGTATCATAGCAATGTCTCATGACAGATTATAATATCAAAATAGTTGACATATGTCATTGGTTCTTCATGGCCTCCTGCAACATCATTAAGGTCACAAATCCCACCACTACCCCACGTAAATTTTGGGTCTTCCATGTAAGTTTTAGATATACTAACACCTTGCGTGTGTTTTTTTCCATGGTATTGTCTACCCATGAGCCAATTCTTGTAATTGAAGAGTGCTGCATAGACGAAATTTAATTTCCTTTATTAAGGAAGCATATGCTTGATTTTAAGTGAAAGGAATCCAATGACTTGCTATCTAATAAACATTAATTTTGGTTTTGTCTGCAAAAAATATTACTAAGCGAATTGTTGCTGCAATTTTGTTGTAGGTCTAACTCCTGATGTATACATCAACAATCAGCAAATACCACGAAAAACAGAGGTGAAATATCTCGGAATGACAATGGACAACAAACTTACGTGGAAGCAACACATAACCAAGAAGCGTCAACAAGTTGACTTAACCGTCAAAAAACTAAATTGGCTAATAGGCAAAAAATCAAAACTATCAATAGCTAACAAAATTCTGATTTACAAGACCATTATTATACCTATTTGGACGTATGGCCTGGAGCTATGGGGATGCTCCAGCAAATCAAATATAACAATAATCCAAAGAAGCCAGTCCAAGATCTTGAGAATGATAACAAACGCACCATGGTACGTCTCCAATGCCACACTCCACACCGATCTCGGAATATCAACTGTTCAAGATGTCATCAAACGAAAAAGCACCAGACACCACACCAAAATCGAAACACATACAAATCCACTCATAATGGCGCTACGGGCGAGAGTAGTCAACAGACGACTAAAAAGAAACTGGCCAATTGACCTGATGTAAGGTACCGAGGATCCGTCGCTGGACGACTCCTCATCAAGACACCGAACCAAACAGACCATTAGCTTATAGAATGAAATTCTGATTTCTGATTAAAAAAAAAAAAAAAAAAAATTTGTTGTGCTGAAATGGACAACTGGAAGCACTGAGAAACGTAGGAATATCGTTCTGAGGGCTTCTGAAGGTAGATTCATTGATGTTAGGAAAATGAATTTCCATAAAACACGTGACAGGTCACCCAATTAATACTGGGGCTGAATAGCTCTAAGTTATCTCTACGATATATTATGAGTAGATATGTAGGGTAACAGGGTTGGGCGAGGTTAATGGAAAATGCAGGGTAGGATGTTTGTCTGGGAGCAAAGAGATGTTCTTTTGAAGATGAACTTTTATCAAGTGCTTCCCGTCCTCTGGTGTGGTGCGGCTACTCAGTTCTCCGGTAGAACAGTTGGCTTAGTCTCACGTCGTGTTTTGGCTGGCGATAAACGAAGAAGGAGAGTCTACTGTAACTGAATGATACTACTTCACGTGTTTCTTTCTATTTGCTATCTCAAGATAATATTTTTTTTAATTTGGTAAGTACAATCCAATTCCTGAATTTCTAACCAGGAGGCATACGTTGATTTGGATTGCAAATGTGGATATACGGTGATTATTTCAAAGCTTGAAGACCCTTGCCCCTTTCCTGCCTTCGTTCGATTATTTCATCCTGCACTCAACCAGTTTCTATTACGCTTACTGCTTCAGATCCAACTGGTCCCCCAATTTTCCCCATTTTACTTTACTCCAATAACAGGTAAAGTTGTCCCTGTGTTTACTTAGTTAAGCACTGTGCTATGAAGACTTATGAGGGAGTGGATGTATAGATTAACGTTTTCTGGACCTCGGCACTAGTTGGAGGTGTGGTGATCTTCACGCCCTGGCCGCTTTACACCCGGGGAAAGAGCCCCGGTACCAATAGGATAAGAGACTGGCTAGGCCACAGTGTCGGTTTGGGCGACGTGAAGAAGAAATAATCCTTGACTCTATAGGACTCGAACTCCGACCACTCGGCCATCCAGCCCGTAGCCAGAAGCCATCTCGACTACGATTTCCCGGCTCCTCAGTCATGCTACAGTTGCTTCATGTTTTGTTAGACACACGCACTACGTGGATATACAAAAATACTCCGTGGCCTACAGTCCGCAAGCGAACTTTACCGACCGAAAAACCACCGCTCCTCGGCGAAGTTAGTACCAATTTTAGCGGATAGAGGGTGTCGCGTGTTCAGCGCGACGGATCCCCACGGCCATTAATTTCGGTTTTCTGGACCGGAGCCCCTATTTCCTTGAAATAGCTACTCAATTATCCTCAGGAGTTTGAGTGGACCCCCGTTCCAGACCCACTACCTCTCAGAAATTCCGGTAGCACCGGAAATCGAACCCGGACCTCTGGATCTGTAGCCAGGAAATATGACCACTAGACCGCATATCAAAAAACATGTTCTCTCTGCTTACGAGATGGGAACTGCTCCCGTTACAGTTGTTGTCCCCGCAGAAGTGCTCTCCACTTCTGAAGACCTTAAATGAATCTACAAGGAACCGAAGCCATCTCTACCCGACAGTATCTGGCGGACCATGGTGAACATATTTTACTGTGGTACATTTCAGCCCATCTTTCTCAACTGGTAAATGATCAGTAATATTGAAACACTGTGAGTTGCGGCTAAAATGATAGAGTAGATTAACATGGGTGAATATTCATGTAAGCGAAAGATTCAGAATTTGGAAATCCTCAGAAAGAAAACAAACAATATATTCAGTTGCATATTTAACAGACATCCAGCGGTGAATTATATTGTTATTCAAATGACCACACTGCAGTTTCTGCTTTCGACTGGAAATTACAAAGTACAAGCATAAATATCTCTTTCATATTCATTTTAGATCCACTGATCTGTTATTCAGGAGGAAAGGTGACGATCAAAATGCTAACAGAAATCACGACAGATATTTTAGTATGTAGCAGCTTCGGCACCGACCACAGTAGCCGCACGATTTAAGGCTCGAACAGCGGGATCGTGGGTTCGAATCCCTCTCATGGCATGGTTGTCGGTCAGAGTATATTCTATGTTTATTTAGGTAGCGGCCTTGCGACAGGTTGATCCCCCGTCCATCACGTTTTACCGACTGTCTTAGAATTTAGGAAAAAGGAGATAGAGACAGGGTAGGTTGGGCACCAAATTCGCGAGTTGGCCGCGTTTTAATTGAACAACGTAGACAGACAGGTTCCACTCTACCTGGTACGAATTTCGTTGCAGCCCACACAGTGAACAGCATCATGATATGGTGATACACGTGCAGAAAAGTCACTTGGTTGCTTTTCTTCCGTAAGACGAAAAACACCTGTAACAGAGATTTGGGACCACTTATTGTAGGATGTCGTTTCTTTCGTGAGATAATTGTTACTAGAAGTGTGAAGTGCACCGGTATGATTCTGAGAAGGCAATTTTCATGTAAGGAAGGCTGCTCCGAACATGACGACTTGAGCTAAGTAAAACTCCAACATTCATTCCAGAACCTTTTGTCTTCTCATCTGCAGTCTAAAAACATAAAAATTAGAATATACAAAACTATAACTCTGCCTGTGGTTCTGTATGGGTGTGAAACTTTGTCTCTGACATTAAGGGAGAAACGTAGACTGAGGGTGTTTGAGAACAGAGTTCTGAGAAGAATATTTGGACCGAAGAGAGATGAAGTGACAGGAGGTTGGAGAAAACTGCATAATGAGGAGCTTCATAATTTGTATTCTTCTCCAAGTATAATTAGAATGATCAAGTCAAGGATGATGAGATGGGCAGGGAATGTAGCATGAATGGGGAGAAGAGGATTGCATATTGGCTATTGGTGGGAAAACCAGGAAGAAAGAAACCACTGGGAAGAGCAAGGAGTAGATGGGAGGACAATATTAAAATAGATCTTAGATAGATAGGATAGGATGATATTGGTAGGATTGATCTGGCTCAGGATAGGGGCCAGTGGAGGGCTCTTGTGAACACGTTAATGAACCTTTGGTTTTCAGTAAAATGTTGAGACGTTCTTCAGTAGCTGCACAATTGGCGGCTTCTCAAGAAGGGCTCAGCTCCATGAGTGAGTGAGTCGGATGAGATAATAAGCCCCAAATTGTGACCGAGAATATTATTAGTTACTCGACCAGGGCTATCACACGACTAAAGAGGGTGAGAATGGGTATGAAACGTTGAATCAATATAAATATATAATATTATATTATATTATTAAAATTAAAATGGACCTCGCGTTTTGAGTAAGTTTATGTTAAAAGAAACAATTAGGAAATATCAAATAACTGGAAATGTACGATTCCCACCCATAATTTTGTTTCATCTTCTACAAGTAATTGTTAATGATCGAAACTTACCGTGTCACAGAGATCGAAGACTTTCAGTAAGAAGTACATATACATCAACTTGGCCGCCTAAAAGAGAACATACGAAATGAGAATTAACATGTAATAACTCCACTGAAATGGCATGTACTGTCTTCGCTCACTTGGAAACCGGGATCGTGGGTTCGAATCCCACTTAGTGCATGGATATTTAGTTTGTGTGGGTGCGTTTTTCTGTTTACCCGCCCAAGGAGTCCTACTGAATGTGTAAGATCTAGAAAAACCGAAGTGAACGGAGAAGTTCATGGAGGTAGGCCTAGGCCCACTGGGGCTGTAGTGCCAAGGACAAAAAACTCAACGGAAATACAAGTTCCTCTCCATGCTGTTTAATGGTGCAACGGATATGACATATCTGCTGAAACCGTCTAGTCCTTGAGCAGTTCAAACAAGGACAATCTTGTGGGTATTTACTACTTAACTCTGGAACTAGCTACGTAAGCACATCCGTGGGCAAATGACTATTCACTTCAGACAACAGTTTTCGCTGTGCCACTATTTGCGGTAGTTGTTTCCTTGTGCACTTACTTTATTAATTAACAAACTAACGTGTGTGGCTGTTTACTTACTTAGACGACTAACAGCTTTTCCACGTGGAATAAGAACAAATACCAAATGCAGAAACAACAACAACAACAACTAATTTATTGGCAACGGCTTTTATAAGACTGCAATTTATCTTACGACCGAAAACCCACAAAAATTTTCCCACTGTTTTCCACTAATGCATTAAAAAATATAGAAATATTGTAGATTGCAAAATACCGTATTTACGCATGTATAGGCCGCGTGCGTGTATAGGCCGCAGCACAATTCTCAGACAGAAATTATAGAACAAATAATTTTCTTTGAATATTATTTCAGGAGTAGAACACTCTGTATTACTAATTATGAATATAATTTTCTTAAATGAAGTGTGATTTCGAATATTTCGAATATAAGCCGCATCCCAGTTTTCCTCTTGAATTTTTGGCAAAAAATGTGCGGCCTATACATGCGTAAATACGGTAGTAATAATTAGGTTTCACTTGAAGACAGAGACAGAATTCAGTCTTCGAAACATTGTGTTTTAAATAAAAACAGAACAATGAAAAGGTCCAGAAAAATACCTTTTTTAATATAAACTACTATACGTTTCATCTGATATCTGAGATAAGGGCCCCTTAACTTTCCAAGCGTGTCTACAAACCGTTTTCTTCGCGCTGATTCGAGGCCTCCACATCCTTCGGGTGAAGCCTACACTTCTTTGAGACTACATGCCAGGAATTTACATAGCTTCGCAAACTGATAGGGATCACACATATGCCTCCAAATTTAGGGCTTTTGGGTTTCATAGGACCTTGTTGTCGTCAGCATCAAAATCCACATACACATTCAGAGAGCTTTCCCCCTTAAAGTCTGTATTCCTCTACACGACTATATACGAGTATATCACGTGATCCAGAATACCTCAAAACAAACACTCGCCGACGTGTAAACCTCTAATGATGATTTCAAATGTGTATTTATTATTATGAAATTTGAGTAACAATTTTATTTATAACATCACTGAATCTATCTCTTAAATTTCTGGGACACAACAATTAAAATGTTTTGTATAGTTTCTTGCAGTGAACCAGCCCAAAGACCAAATCGGCTGGAATATGTACATCCACATTTCTACACCATGTAATCTTCTGGTATTATAAGTAAACGCTTGTTAAGGCATGTAAGATAGCCCGAAGAACACCTAGAATTACAGAGTTACAAGAATCAAATTCTGGGAAATTATTTAACATCTAATTTCCTCGTTCAATTGCGTGATTTCAGAGCGAATATTCAACAAATGAAAGGCGCAGTTATGAAGTAGATAAGGAAATCGCCATCGGTGCTATTCAGGGCTTCAGACGATGGTGAAATTCCGATCCCATGGCTCAAAGTATAACTGTAAATAGCATGAGTAATTACAGAACTGCGAAAGTAGGCCTTCTCTGACGAGCGGGTTGCAGTAACTACACAAAAATGTATTCACAGGCCAACTTCAGGTTAAATCGCACATGCAATCAATAAGAACACTGAAGTGTCCTGCCTCCTGCGGTATTAACGTCGTGCGGTCTGTTGATAGTCAACGGATCTCTGCCAGCTGCTTGCTTCATGTTAGTTTCCTGGTTGGCTTAATCCTCGACTTCGAAGATGGAGGCGACATATTCATCCAAAACGATGGTTGACTTGCAAGGGGTAACAAGACATTATGCCCCAGAAAAGAACTCTTTATAACCACCGCTGTGAGAGCCCAAACCAATACTGTAAATGGTGATTACAGGCGAATATTTAGTTAACTGGATACATAACCACACGCCTAATCCATTAATGCTTACATGGCTTCTTTTGTATTTACTTAGGTCTAGTTGTCAGAGTTCCTGGCTACAGATCCAGAGGTCCGGTTTCGATTCCCGGCTGTACCAGATTTCTTTATGAGAAGTAGTGGGTCTTGAACGGGGTCCACTCAGCCTCGTGGTGATAATTGAGGAGCTATTTGAATGAAATAGCTGCTCCGGTCTAGAAAACCGAAATTGACGACCGTTGGGATTCGTTGCGCTGACCACGCGACACCCTCTATCCGCTAAATTTGGCATTAAAATTCGCCGACAAGCGGCGGTCGCTCCGTCGGTATAGTTCGCTTGCGGACTAAAATCACTTATTTATTTTTGTTTATTTATTTAAATAGTGAATCACATGGTTAACTGCCCGCCTAATTGGGAAAAGAGTTGCCTACTTAATTATATGTTTCTGTGAAGTACGTGCTCCGCCGCTTCCTCGATACTGGTCAGCTAAGAATAAAAACAAATGTTGTAGCTACATGAAATGAGTGCCGGTCACAGTAACAGCGCGGTCTAAAGAATGGACTGCCTTCTCTCGCTTGAGCCCTGGGCTCGCTGGTTCGAATCCCACTCCAGGCATGGATGTTTATGTTGTGTGTGTATATTCTGTGTTTGTGTTGTTCTATGTGTAAGCAAAAGTCTTGCGACGGGCTGATCCACCATCCAAGGTGTCCTACCGACTGTGTATAGGATCCGGAAACTGAAAAAAGCGACAAAGACCCTACAGAGGGCTCTAGAGTCGTAATAATATTATGATGATGATGATTGATGATGATAAAATAAGCTGTATACATACGTGCAATCCACGTGGTGAGGTATAATCTAGCGGCTCGCAGAAAATGCGGTACTTCCTTCCCCATTCCAGATCATACAACTGAAAGAAAGAACACATTTCTCAAGATGGCGCGCATTGAATCACGGAAGGGCCCACTGGCACAGACGAAACAGTTTGCACAGTCGCGCGCTCTACTGGCGGGAACAGTGCGCACAGCACAAAATTTCATACATTACATCAACATACAGAAATTCAACTAATATATCATTGTGTATATTACACCGTTATACGTATGTACTTCAGCACTTAACGTATTACAGCGTTATAGGACTACTTTGTATTATGAAAGTTTGAGGTTCGAATCTTGGCATGGAAATCAAGAATCATGACTTAGGTTAGACGTGGTGTTCTTCAGCCCCGTCAAAGTAAATTTCTCGATAATATCTCAGATTAGACTACTATAGTGCGCTTCTCCTTCCTTTCTAGTTGTCTTCTCAGCAATATTCCTGTTACTTAATGATATAACTCTATAAAGTGAGGTATTGAAATCACTGTTAGAAATATCATAATTAAGTAAACCTATAAGGAAATAAATTCTCTGTTGCTGACACACTGTCTCCATGCTGGTTTCTTGTTTCACTTACTCTTTAACCATGAAGATGCAGGCGATGTTCCTCTAAAACTTCGGTTGAACTTCACCAGAAAATATGAAGATCTATCCCAAAAGACAGAATCTCCACAATCACTGCCTTTGTAATTTCAGTAAGTCCAGCAATATTAGGAGAGGTACGAACAGCGTAGAATTCTTGTTCAGTTCTTCTGCTACTTTCTCTAGGTTTCGTATCCGGTAACAACAAGTCATGTTTCTCTCTTATAACATGCATAACACGGAAGCGGAGAATATCATAAGTTCATCAGGCATAAATTCTTAAAATAACGAACCATATTCATACTCTTAAGCAAAGTACAACTTCACCTGTGGCAATCATATTCATTCACTCATTCATCAGTAATCTGTCAAGACGACAGGTCCACAGTCTCTTCCAAAACAGTCCCTCCACTTAATGCGATCTAGAGCTTTCTCCTTCAAATGAAAATATCCTCTTCTGTCCCCAAGGTTATCCAGCATCTTCTTACGTCTTCTTCCTCGTCTTCTGGTAACTTCTATCCGCCCCTCTATCTTTCCTTTAATAACTTCTTTTAGAAGGCAGTTACCGCATAAGATAGCCAATCATATATACTGAGCAATTATAGGATAAAGTTTGAAAAAAATCAGTCCAAATTTTGCAGAAAAAAATAGGTTGCATAGTACAAAAATTCATTTTATTTAATTATTTAATCGACGACAGCAGAAATATTTATGTAACACATTAAAAACTAACATATATATATATATATCAAATTATAAAAATATAACAAATAATCGCATATTATAGATATGTAGATGACATAATTACGTACAATATATGAACAAAAGAAAACAAACATAGAGAAACACACAATGAACTTAGTGACATCAAACAATCCATACAATTTACTACCGAGAAAGAACTTAAAACAAACTGCAAAGGCAACAAATTCGAATTTTCAATATAGAGGAAACCTACGAAGACAGATATTACAATAACTAACAGTTCTTGCCACCCATGTGAACGTAAACTGTCAGGCCTTAAATGTCTACTAAATCGGTTACACACATCCAATAACAAAAAACCAAACCAACGGGAAAAGACTATAAAATATGATACAGAAAAACGAATATAAAAGAAACCTACTTGAGAAACCAATACCACGAACACAAAAAAGAAAACATACGCTAAGATGCCGAGTACCACAAGAAATGGGTCATTTTTTTATATTACAAGAAAGGACTAACACAAATAACCAAACTTCTTTAAAAATATAACTTAGAGTAGCCTTTCACACACAAAACATCATCAACAATATATTGAAACATCACTTACAGACAGATATCCGCATATATCAGGTGGAACGCCTGAACTGCCCATTGAAATAATTGGCGAAACAGGAAGAACGTTCAGTGTTTGATATATTCACGCCATCAGAAGTAATGATAATAAATCTGGATATTCAAATCATATGTTATACACGGACATACTCGTACATATGGAACAATAGCAAACACCATTGACGTCATAAGGACGGGAAGGAAAGGCAGACACATTTACAAAATTAGCATGAACAACTTACATATGAAGGTTACACACACGAAACACACAATCCTATATTCCAAAGAGTACATGAACTTTAAGGTAGGTAACAGTACACAAGTCACCCTGAAAGATATTTAAGCGAGAACAACCACATCAAATCAATTGAAGGAATACAAATTCAGTACAAGGTACACGCGACCAGTGGAGCGGCACACATAAAGTGTAAAAAATACAACACTTAGACATCCAAGGGTAGCACAGTCCAAGAATTAGAGACAGTTTTACACTAAAAAACATATATTACACACTTCAAAGAGAAGCTGCAATACTAAGAGAAAGGACATCCTTAAAACACCAAACTGAGCATAATTACGACGTACATCAACAAGTATTGACAAAAGCGAGCACAGTACAGTAGGTTCCATCAGAATGTTTTGCCCGAAGTTAGCCCTATGAGGCAGAAACCTGCAGGTAGACATAAAATATATTTTGATGGTAGTTAAAGATATTTTAACTGACATTTAGTGAGCTGTATGTCAGTTTTGTATCATCTGAAATAAAGTGTGTTGCAATGTAGAAGGAACAGAAAGCACAAGACATAAATAACAATCGAATTGAGTTAAATTGGATTATTATTATTTTGTTATCAGGCACTCAGTTAAGGAAGAGTGTTACTATTTATTAGTAGAATTATGCTGCCGTGTGACCTGCTCCGATGAGAATTATTTCTAAACCGAAAATTCATTGAGTTTTTGTAGAAGACCTCGGATGGAAGATCGGCTCTCCACTAGAAAATACATTGAATAGAAACACAGGCGGGTTGCAAACCTAAACCTTGGTTTCGTAGAGGCCTGAGATTCAAGGCCGCTTTGTTATTGGCAAGATCATGAACATTAATTTTTAAAAATATTACACAATTATAACTCACCATTTTGAACAGAAAGGCGCACAGGATTATTTGCACTAGATTATACATCCGAATGGTTCGGTCCAGGTTGAAGGCAGGTCTGTTCTTCATCAAGCAGGGACCAAGGCTCTTCACGAAATACAGGTATGAAATTCCGATAAAGAGCACAGGCCAAGGTGAACCCATCAGGAACCATTCGTCACTCCTGTGGTCTGCATAACACGAGAAACAACAATATCACACCCTTGCGGATTGAAGAGCTTGGTTTATATTTCCAGCAGTGGAATATGCTGTTGTCTAGATTTGGGGCGCAAACATATTTCTTTTCTACTCATGTGTTTTCCTTTTCTTCGAGGTTGCAAGTCAGGCAGACTGCTAAGCTGTGTCGTGTACATGCTGGCGTGTTCCATACAAGGGTCCATATCCTAGTCTCAATGAGAGGGGTCGCAAGATAGAATATTATTCAAAATGTCTGGTATATTCAAACAATTTTCTGTTCTCTTTGGTTGACATTCGTCCCAAAAGGCTTCTTAATTTAGAAGATAAATTTTGGGGTACATCATGCTACGCCAATATGCTAAATCTTTACTTTAAAGGACACACATCCGATTATGTTCCTCAGGCAGCCCCATTATAAAATTGTCAGCACAGCTGTCTTTACCTCCAAAGATTAACACAAAAAAAAACAAGAAGATATTTTATATGTAAATTCGTGAGACGGCCTATATTGAAGCCAGAAAAATAACAAAAGAATATCGAATTTTAAAAGAAAGATAAAAACATATATACCTTTTACGCCTGTGGGTTTCATATGGTTCCGCCCCAACAATTCTCCTGCTAAATTTGCTTATCTATTTCACCCACACTCAGTCCACCTTCACTCCTCCCATGTTACTACACCTCACATCTGCACATCACTGTCAATGTCGCTATGTACAGGCCGTGCCATAACTCAGACAGTTAGTCGCCGGCTTTCCCCCGCTGTGGCCAGAATTCGAATCCTGGTCAAGTTATTTGGGGTCTATGATGGACAAAGTGGCGCTGAGGCAGGTCTTCTTCGAGTACTTCGGTTTCTCCTGCCAATTGTCATTCCACAGACTGCTCCATTCGGGGCTGGTACAATAGGCTAGTTAGTGGCCGACGCACCAGTCGACTGTCTCACCCCAAAGCAGGTAAAAAAATGTCAGTATGTAATGTCTTCCTTCAGTATTGTCTTCTACAGTACCACTGCTCATGCTGTTAGTCGGCGGCAACCCACTGCGGCTCGGAAGCGGGAAACACTACTTATATTGGACACAGCACAGATATTTCAAACATCTGGAAACTGTGGCTAGACTGCAGACAATTCCGGCTGTCTGATCATACTCCGAAAAAACATTCACACAGAACCAATAGCTCTGAAATTAAATCAAACTTGCCTTTACGCTCATGAGGTGAACTCGAGATCAGTGGCACTCTGTTGCTGACTTACCTGAGTGATGAAGAACTGTTGTGTAGACATCGGCAACCATATTGTAAATGGAAGCCATGTTGACCACGAGCTGTTCTGCAACACAACAAGAAGAATGCTTAAATAAGCTTCAAAAGTCTCCCCTCAACGAATTTATTTCTTGTTGAGTCTGAGAATTTTACGATGGTGACTATCAAGGGTACTGTTTTCTGTTTTGTAATGGAGATTGCTTCGATAATCACACAGTTAATATTCTGAAGACTAAATTAACCGGGGAAGCACCGCAGTTCGCTAATGGAAAACATTGGTACATAAAAATGTCACTTATGAAATTTTAAAATCAGAACTGGTGGAAGGTTCTAGTGATAAGGTACCAGACAGAATTACGTAATTCATTGCAGGGAGACACCAAAAAGAAAGAAGAGTCGCTCATTCAGTTTTTAGATGGATGCAGAATGCCAGGCGCAAAAGCCATTAAGAAAAGCACGATCCCCAAAGAAGAAAGTGTGTGTGCACTTGATGGCCGCTCACGGTCCCCGCGCGGTCTAATGTCTTCGCTCGCTCGAAAGTTGAGATCGTGGGATCGAATCCCGCTCGAGGCATGGATGTATATGTGCGTTTATTCTGTGTGTAGGCAGCGTCCTTGCGACGGTCAGATCACTCGTCCAAGGAGTCCTACCGGCTGCGTATAGAATTAAGAATGTAATAGAAATTGTAATGCGTTGAACTAGGATACAAATTAGGTAGAAATTTGTGCTACAAACCCAGACAACAAAACCAAGTACATGAGCACAATTGCAAGGAAATGGGGAAAGAAATTATGAAGATATGTAGTGTCTGCTGCTGGCGCCATCTGCGGAGTAAAACCTGAACTCTCAAGGCTGAAACCTTATGGAAAGCCAAGAAGAATCTGTCACGTCATACAATCTCCTTTGCGAATTAAAAACTTCATTGCTGATGAGGGGGATCCAGACAAGAGAAATGTCCAAAGTGGTTTGGCTGATTGGATTGGTTAAGAATGCCATATGGACTGATTCCTTGTTCTTTCGGTACCTGCCGTTGCTTTCAATTTCCAAATCCCAGCTTTCTCCCAGCGTCCCTATGAATCTCTTCAGAGACTTGTTGGGCTAATTTTGATTTTTCTAGAAAACTCTCTTTGAGATTGTGTCTATGTTCGCCAGGCCGCAATGCTAGAGGTCTGCCTATTTCTCCTACCTAGCTTCTGCCACATTCACAGGGATAGTTATTATTATTATTATTATTATTATTATTATTATTATTATTATTATTATTATTGGAGGGGGTGGGTTTCCCCATTTACCGCAACTAATACTATCTATTGTACGTCCCCCTTTGATATTCTACCAGTCGCCAGAACGCTGATCGCCGAAGAAAAATAATTTAATGAGGAACCGAATTTGTCTAGAAGGAAAGAAAGAACCCCGCACATTATAAGGACAGATAGGCAACAACTTCAACAAACAAACTCCATGGCCTGTAGTTCGCATGCGAACTATACCAACTAAGTGACCGCCGCTTGTCGGATAGAGGGTGTCACGTGGTCAGCACAATGGATCCCCACGGCCGTTAATTTCGGTTTTCTAGTCCAGAGCCTCTATTTCCTTGAAATAGCTCCTCAGTTATCCTCACGAGGCTGAGTGAACTCCGTTCCTGGTAGCGCCGGTAATCGAACCCGGGACCCTTGGATATGTGGCCAGGAACTCTGACTACTAGACAATAGAGGCGGTCGACATATAGGCAATCATATCCTAAAGAGAAGGAGAAAGTATTGTCACGTGTTGTGTATGTGGCGCGACAAATAAATTCACGTGGGTCTCGGATTCAGCGAATCTTTATTGGACACTCACACTTATTCACCGTACAATTGTCACCTTTACTGTATTCCGCGGCGGCTTCCTTCCAACCGTTTTGTATGGCCACTAGATCTCAACTATCTTCAGCGGCAGCTTCCTGAAGACTGACTTCTGTATCTCTTGGCGTCTATCCTGAGACTGTCTCGGCGAGTCAGTCAGAGTTACATTGCAACTGACGGTCAGTCATTCAACCCCTTTTTATAACCTCGGCCGTTGCTATGCAAACGACCCTCTGTTTTCTATCACCAGGGATACGCTTTGTTGATACTCCAATACCTACGCAACGGCCAACTGTTGGGGCTACAATACGGCTATTGTCGCTACCTATGCAACGGTCTGTTCTAGCGTTACTATGGAAGTGACTCCTTGATTCCGAACACGTGACAATATATAGGAAAAGAGACAGAAGAATTGGCACGTGGATAGGCGAGCTTCTAAGTACAGGAGGACAGTTAGCATGGAAAACCGTCCTGGCCAATTAATATAACGGACACAGATAGAGAGAGCAAACAATTTAGACCATAGATAATTATATCCATACCTCATCAGGAAGTGAATACCTGACAGGTTATGACCCCCCTCCCCCAGGGGTAGCGGTTTCTACGAAGTAGAATCTTCATACTAACTCGAGGGACCTCAGACCTGGGAGAATTATAGCCTAAAGAGAGGTTCTCAAACGAGAAGAAAAAAGAAGCATCGGGAAATGAGAGACAATGGCGACACCAACAAGAGAGATTCGGAAACAATTTTTAAAATGGCTCCGCAAGCGATGCTGCAGGTTCGAGGTAATAGGTACCATCGTGCCAGAGGTGAAATAGCTGACCGCAGTACCAGATCACCTGGACACAGAAAGAGAGAATATTTTAGACGCAAATGGAACAAAGTAAAACGGTAACAGCATACCAGAGCCATCTCATGGCTCACCTTGAAAATTAGATGGTCATTATTTGATACGACCTCCGAATAGGATTAATTATACGGAATAACGTTAGCCGACAAATTAGGAAAGCACAGGAACTGACGAATTAGGTGACAACACTATCAAGATATAGAGACTGACAAACTCGTTGATGAACACGAGTAGGAAAATAGGGTTCCATACAAGGGTAAATACAGGGTTTATGTTGATTTAATGCTAGTGGGGTGAGACTAAGTCCCTTGTACTGCGGTCACTTCTGGCCTATTGTACCAGTCCCAGATGATAGGTGAGGTTGATTATGGAGCAGTTGGTGGAATAAAGATTTGGCAGGGGAAACCGAAGTACTCGGAGAAAACCTGTTCCAATGCCACTTTGTCCATCACAAATCTCACTTGACCAGACCCGGAATCGAAACCGGGCCGCCGCGATGGGAAGCCAGCGACTAACCGCTTGAGCTATGGAGCGGCCAAGAAATACAGGGTTACTACAAATGATTCATTCCATTTCAAAACACTATATTGGTCGCTCCGTGTTTTTCCCTTTACACAGACAACCAGTATCCTTAAACTGCCGATACCACCGCAGAATGCTCTGTTTACATGGAGGTTCATTTCTGTACTCTGCTCTGAATGCACGCTGCACTACAATAACAGACGAACATCTCGAATTTTCCAACACAGAGAAACTCTTTTCCAGCTTCGTCGCCATTTTGTGAGGAACTGCATTCGTGCTGCCAACTGGTGTATCAGAATGCAAACTTGGCGATTTTGCGGTTCTTTTCATGTATCAGTCATACTTGTATGTATAATACTTTGTGAAACTATAGTGCTTTGAAATGGAATAAATCATTTGTTGTAACCTTGTATTTTAAAGGAAGTTTTCAGGGTTATTCAAGCAAAAGTGAGCGTAGGTAGAGTGGAGAGAGCATACTTGCTGCAGAAGTTTGCCTTGTCAGTTGTCCTGTGTATATTGTCACATGTGTCGGGGGGTACGCCTGACGAAATTAACCTGTTCCAGTTCAGATGATTGAATTTATTGGCATTTCGATTACACACTCTCTCTTAATTACAATTAATACAGCGCCACTACTGATTTACACAGTTTACAGTTCACAGTTGCACACGCACTAGGAGTCTCAGTTTCCACTAGTCGTCTCCTGGCGAAGTCTCTCAACACAGAAACTGGCACTTCAAATTACTATGAAGTCTTCTTGCTATTTCTTGTTCAGTCACCCTGAAACTCGGCACTCAACTAAAACTCTCCTGGACTCCTCTTAGCTGCAGGCGTATTCGTGTTATATAGCCGTCGCACGAACAACGCAGAAAACACAGTTCTACTGTTGCGTAGCGCAGACCACACGGAAAACATTAGTCACGTGATAGCTAAACACTGTTCGGATGTGATATCATTGCACCTGTACGGAAGTGTGTTTACCGAGCTGTTGCCTAAAAGCTGGTTGCATATCCCGATCGTTCGATTGTTGCGTGCGTGTATTACTAAGAAACGGCCGTTTCTGTGACTCAACTGTTCTTGCATGGAGCAAATATGCCACATTATGTATCTGCTTTAGAATTAATCATTGTAATAAAGTGACAACGCGTGTATTGTGTCCATAGATTTCGAATAATGTTACTTGAACGCTGCTGTGTGTGTGTGTGTGTGTGTGTGTACGGGTACACTCGCGCAAAACAAATATGGCGCCTACTCAGAAAGGTCAACCCTCCTCTCCGCGAAGAGATTACCCAATTTCCAAACACAAAAACGGTCTCTGAACGAACACAACTTAGGTCATGGGCCCGAGAGGGCCCTAAATCAAGAATGACTTTGCTGGAATTGCACCGAAGCAATTTATGTGACTGCACTGAACTAGACTCAGAACCGAACCTCTCCTATCATCAATGAAAATGTAAAAAGTGTTGCAATTTTGTCGGAAGATAAACAGTGGACGCTAAGTCAATGAACAACTCCCATTTTCAAATAAATAATTGCTTTTAGAGCGAACATAAATTAGGCCATGAGTTCCAACAGGGCTCAACACAAAAAGCAACTGTGTTGGCTAGGTTCAGTAGAACTTTACTGGACTGGCCTGGACTGAACGCGCAATCAAGGATCCCTGTGCTGGCGAGGCCCAGCAGTCTGTCAATAATGGTTAATCTGAATGTTCCCAGAGCCGTCAGACACTAAAGTACGGTCATGAGTCCCGTGGGATTCGGAAACAACATTTACTGTGCTGGCGAGGCCCAGCAGCAATTTGAGATTCAGTCATCAGTGAGTTATGGCTAGGAGGTAGGCGTAGTTGGTTGAGGCACTATCCTACAAGCCAGAAGGTCGCGGGTTCAAGTCCCGATGAGGTCATTGGATTTTTTTCAACTGACCTAATCCTTCAAGTCGCACTATGGCCCTAAGTCGACTCAGCCTCTAACAGTAGCAGGAATTAATTAAATAATTTTCCTGGGGCGTAAAGCGCGGCCGGCGCGTAAGGCTGACAACCTTACCGCCATTTTTGAACCGATTGTCTAGATAATGTGGGACCCTCAACGTCTCACAACCCTATGGTCCTTCACGGCCTGGTACAGGGATAGCTATACTCTTACTTTATAAGAAGTTGTACTACTGAGTAATCATAAGAAAGAGCGGCCTCCGTAGTCTAGAGGTAACGTTCCCACCTCTTGACTCGTAGTACGCGGGTTCAAATACCCGGCGGAGGTCGTCGAATTTTTAAGGGCGTAAAACTTCAGGGAACAAGTCCTCCGGGAGGGACTTTAAGCCGTGGGTCCCGTGTCGTAGCTTTACGGCACGTAAAAGAACCTCATATCTCCTAAGGAGGTCACTGAGCTAAATTCAAGGACATTTCCCGCCCAACAGCAGTCACTAATACCTCCGGTAGATGGGGGAAGAATTATAGATACCTCTCAGCTAAGTAGAACCGGTCTCGCTGGCTGGGCGGGACTGATGGTAAGCACCAGTACCGGTAGGATATAGAGACTGGTAGAAATCATAGAGGGAAGCACAATGGACCAATACAGGTTTCAGTGTATGGGGAAACCCACCCTCTCTAATAAATAACTAACTAATCATAAGAAAGTAAAATATAACAATTTGTCTTTATTTTTCCCTTGGCACTACAGCCCCAGTGGGCCTAGGCCTACCTCCATGAACTTCTCCGTTTACTTCGGTTTTTCTAGATCTTACACATTCGGTAGGACTCCTTGGGCGGGTGATCAGCTCGTCGCAAGGCCTCTACCTGTATACAAACAAAGAAAAACGCACATACACAAACTAAATATCCATGCCTTGAATGGGATTCGAACCCACGATCCCGGTTTCCAAGCGATCGAAGACAGTACATGCCTCAGACCGCTCGGCTACCGTGACCGGCCAGTTTGACATATACACGAATGAATAGTAATCAGAAAAGAGAATAACAAATACTAGCCTACTTCGGTACTTACTGCAGGCTATCTTCCCTAGATGCAAACTCAGACTAAAGGCCGTTGTGGAGTTACTCTACTTATACAGAATGTAACTGAAACTTTTAAAACAATTTAATGAAGGAAGTGACAAGTAATGTACACGCGCCTGAACTGTTATGTCACTGCATAATCGGAGGTTCATAATTAGATTCTAAAAGCTTAGAATTACTGTGTTTGTGGAACTTTGTCCATCGTCGGCTATTCTAAAGAACTAGAAAACACAACGTTTCGGAAGCTGAATCTGTTTCCTTCCTCAGGTGAGGTGGGAGACATCTGCTCTCTTGAAATGGACAAACGGTTTCGAAAAGATGTAGCAAAGAAATATTTATTGGTATCAGTATCCTGTCAACTGTTCTGCTTCTGTCATTTTCATCACGTTTCTCTTCATTAGCTCCTATCATAACAAATATGTAGGGTCCATTTATCTAGACTGCAAATAAATTTGTCCTTAAGATACACTGAGGGCCGCGCCATAGCTAAAGTGGTTAGTCGCTGGCCTCCCAACGCGGCGGCTCGGGTTCGATCCCAGGTATGGTCAAGTGGGAATTGTGGTAAACAAAGTGGCACTGGGGCAGTTTTTCTCCGAGTACTTCGGTTTCCCCTGCCAGTCTTCATTCTACCAATTGCTCCACAATCACACTCACCTATCATCTGGGGCTGGTACAATACGCCAGAAGTGGCCGCAGTACAAGGGACTTAGTCCCACCCCACTAGCAATATAAAAAGAAAGATACACTATTCAAATTATACAACATATGTCCTGTAGATTTCGTCTCAATATTTTCATCGGCGGGATCATATCATACGAAGCTAAGTTGTGATGGAAACAGTCTTCTGGGATGTGGCGCCGTGTAGATAAAGTGTTAATCGACGTTTTGGAGGAACATATCTCCTCCATCTTCAGGGTAGAAAACAAGAAGAAATCCGCGAGCGAACCAGCGTGAGCAGGCGTTGCATACGTGAGGCGACAAGTTCATCCGAGACGTCGGTTAACACTATATCTACACGGCGCCACATACCAGAAGACTGCTTTCATCATAGTCTTCGCCGTGAAAACCTCATTTACATAATTCTTTCATGTGGTAACATATCTCTAATGTATGTTACCAATTGACCCAACGCATCCATGAGAGTTTCTGCGTGTCCTCACAATTCCACTCGGGGAGCTCGTAGTACAGTGAATGGTTCTGCCGTCTCTGAGCGACACCCCGGAGCTCTACTGGTATAGGCGACTTCTGAGAAGTGTACATTCCTCAGGCCACATGCAGACACAAAGTAGAAGCATCGTCTCGTTTTCTGGTCATGATTAATAATGAGACTTGTATTCGATAATTGGATATTTTAAATATTCTTTTAAAATCACAATAAGTTAATATAACTCAAAATAAATTACCGCCTAGAAATTTCTCAATTCGGACTGGACTATACCTTGCTCCATTCTGGTTCCTCTCTCTTCTGTTCTGGACTGCAACTGTCTTCTCTTCTTGCCTGTCTTCTCCTCGCTTCTGTCTTCTACTCAGCGCTAGGGCATCCGAATCCAAGGAAATTTCGCTTGGTTCCACAGCGCCATTGGTTTCCAAGAATCTATCTCCATGGAAATGTATTTGTCAACTCGTTCCCTAGCAGTGGGTCTACATGTCACATTTTATTTTAATTATGTACAAGAAAAAGATCACGAAATATTACGATCACTTTTCATGCTGGGAATTTGTCATCATTTGTTCCACATAATTTGTGCAGGATTTTCAAATTCTGTTACTGTATTACACATACATGTACAGTACGGAAACTTACGGCCAAAGGATTTTCTTGATTTCGGGTCCTTTAGATAAAAAATTAAACTCATGTAAATTAAATAATTAACTTTTATTTTTCAACATTTGCTTCACCTATAAATTGCTTACAGTTAACAACGAGAGCCATAATTATCACTTTTCTCATTCGATGAGTCTTCATTTTTAAATATGTCTTGCAAAATTAATTTTTCCGAGCATTTAAGCTTGAGCTTGAGCTTATTATAAAACCTCTTCTATGCTACATACCCACAATGTGATGTTACATGTAGACCCATTTGTAGGTAACCCCGAAATACGCGCACGCAAAAACAGAAAATGTATTGCAAGAAGGGTTTTCTATGTGATCCTCACCATAGCCATTGCTAAGCAACGGTTAGCTAAACATATTCCCGCAGAAGTAATTGCACAGAATAAGAGAATATCTAGTGCTACACAAAGGTGCGGGAAACATGCTTTATCAGCAGTACAGTATGTGTCTTCTATCATGTAGCTTAGTTGGTCGAGGCACTATGCTACAAGCTGGAAGGTCGCTGGTTCAAGTCCCGATGAGGTCATTGGATTTGTTCAATTTACCTAAGCCTTCCGGCCGCACTATGGCCCTAGGGTCCACTCAGTCTCTAACAGAAATGAGTACCAGGAATCTTCCTGGGGGGCAAAGGGCGGGCGGTGCGTAGGGCTGACAACATTGCCGCCATCTGTGGGCCGATTGTCTAGAAAATGTGGGAACCTCAATATCTCACAACCCTATGGGCCTTCACGGTCTGTTACAGGGATGCATTTACTTTATTTATTTACTTGCTATTATATACTAAAATAGAATTTGGGGAACATTTGTAACCATATAAATGAAGCTTAGATCAGTGTACACTGTGTATTTATATGGTAGAGCACCGTGGACAAATTCCTATGGCAAGAATCCCACTCCACAAAGGGGTCTTGTAATCCCTGGATAGGCAGCGAAGAGCTATTTCTAATAAGAGTTTTATTGCCAGACTGAAGACCCGTTTATTGGAGCGAAACCCACGCCAGTGCTATGAGAAAGTAAACCCCCAAAAGAGAGTAAAAGAATTATGCTACCAGAATGTCAAGCAACTTGGCTGCCGGGGTTTGGCAACCTCTTTAGACAAACTTCTTTACGAGTAATGGCACCAACTGGGAACCATTATATTTATAGTCTTACCCTTCCATATTTCACAGGTCCTCTAACAGAACGATGTAAAATTGTGTGTTTCAGTACGAAACAAGTCAGCCACTGGATAGCATCCGGAACCTCGCTTATACTGAACTTAGCTCAGACAACGGACAATGTAAATTACAAATGTTTTTTATTTAATAATGAATACAACGATGGATGAATTTCTAAGTGAGGGCAATGAAATTTGCAATCAATCACCAGGTCATTGACTATTGCCACAAAGCCTGAATGTTTTGCAGCAAGATTGCTCTCAATAATATATGGATAAACAACGATCCGCATGAATGTGGACCTGTTGACCTTTGCGGTGGACCTTACGTTCTGGAGACTGTGTGCTTCTTGTGTTACGTAAGCTAATACATGGACTCATGGTGGACAAGCATGATACTTAATTTAAAACTATGTATTCTAATAATTGAGGAGTTGGGATAGCTCTATCGGTAGAGTGACGAGCAATGGGGCTGATAGCTGGGGATCAATTCCAATCAGGGGCAAGAATTTCTCTTCTCCATAACGTCCACACCAGCTCTGGACCCCACCCAGCCTCTTATCAGCAGAGATTTCTCCAGGATTAAGAGGCCGGGGCATGAAGCTGACCATTCACATCCATCTAGTGTTAAGGTTTAGAATGGTGGAGCTAAACCTCCATTCTCTCATATGTCTTCATGGCATATCATTTACTTAATTAAGCAAATGAACAATTTTAAGTTTTACTCTGCTACATGAACACATAATGAAAAAATAAAGCAAAAAATTTAAAAAATCCAGATATCTAATTCACAAAAGCTGTTGAGAACATCCTATACATTAACAGATATGTCCATAGGTCTCTTGCAAAAAATTTCTATACACAAATATTTTCACATAGTTATTTCATTAATTTATTAAGAAATTAAGAAAGCAAATGTATTTTTGTAACAGGCCGTGGAAGCCCATACGGTTGTGAAATGTTGAGGTTCACACGTTTTCTAGACAGTCGGCTCATAGATGGCGGTAAGGTTGTCAGCCCCACGCGCCGGCCGCCCTTCAACCTGAAGAATATTCCAGATAGTCATTTCTGTCATAGACTAAGTCGACCCCAGGGTCATAGTGCAGCTAGAAGGATTAGGTCAATTGAAAAAATAATTCAGTGACTTCATCGGGACTTGAACCCGTGACCTTCCGTCTTGTAGCATAGTGCCTCAACCAACTACGCTACCGCCTGACCCCTACAAAATAGAATTTCTCTGTCACACACTGGTAGATAGCTTGATGAAATTTTGTGGACCGGAAGTGCCAAAGAAAGAGATTAATGGACATGCTCTCGGAATCCCGGTGCTGGAACCCCTTCCGAAATTATTTCCCGTAAAATCCTGCTCCTCATATCAAATTTCCTTCTATGTAGCGGTCATTCACTTGCCTCTTGACCTCCAAGCAGACTTCCCGCGTCCATTTCTCGAATCTGTTTTCAATGCATGAAAATGCCATCAGATATTATATTCATAATGCATCGATTAAGGATATGAGTTGACAATTCAATGGAAAGTCATATCACGTGATATAAAAAATTCATGAAGTTGTCCTGACTCTTCAACATTTCCTCATGCCAGTTTCTTGGGTTATGTGAGAATAGCTTTACCATGACGAAAGGTAATTCATTATTGAAGCCTTTTGTAAATTCGAATAAAGAGACAAAAATCCTGTAAATGAGATATCGTGAATTATATTCGTTAAAT